GACAAATGCTACAAGAAACTCAGCGAGAATCTACCATGGGCTGAGGCAAAACAGGAGTGCATCAAGATGGGAAGTGTCTTGGTCATGCCACAGTCTCAGGAGGAAACTGACTTCCTTCAGAAGAACGTGTACCACTGGTTCTGGATCAACTGCAATGATCTTCAAGTTGAAGGTTTGTAAACTTACATTGCTTAAACAATGAAGGAATTCTATTTTTCGAGATGTTCAAAGGAAACAATTTTTCTCTCCTATTGGAAAGGAAAGAAATTTTATTATTTACATTTCAAAGTTTAAACATACATACATGATTTTAAATTCTTAAAGCTTGACAGTAAAATTCAAGCCAAATAAAACTATTCTGTGTGTGTGTTTGTTAGGTGCATGGGTGTGTCAAGATAGCACTACTGATGTGGAGTACAGAAACTGGGGTAAGGATCAACCTAGCAGCACCAGCGAAGATTGTGCAGTGGTGACAAAAAGCGATGATTGGAATGATGTGTCATGTGACGATCGCTCTCCTGTCATCTGCAAACGACCAGCACCACAGCTGCACTTTTAAGTAACGCCAAACAACTGACTGCTAATCAAATTTAACACCCCTCCCCAAAAATTAAAGAATGAAATCATGTAGAAAGTATTGCAACTATTAAGTGATTGATAGAACCATTTGAACCATCATGAATTTTGGATATACAATGTGAGAAGATAAAAACACTTAAAAAAATGTTGTTCTCATAGAATACATGTATCTCCGTAATTTGTGCTCTTTGGAAAATAGTTTCACTTTTTTTCTGTATTTTTTATTCACAGAAACCGTAGTGAAAATTTGCAATTTAACCACTTGGACAATTACAAAGTTAGGGCACACAAATTGAGACGATGAAAAAAACAAGTCAATTTTTTTTAAATCCTGTTGGTAGTCCTCACAGAAAACATTGTATGAATGTATCGTTTTAAATTTGTCCTTGTGGAAAATATCATTAATTATATGTTTATTTCTTTCAGTTTCAGAACTTTTCAATTTTTGTTTCCTTCTATAAGATAATCTCAAATGAACAAGTAACAATTTCGATGCTGCAGTATTTAGTCAAGTTATACACTTAGTCTTTTATATATATTTGATTGTGCAACACCCTTTTCTGAGTAAGTTATCAGATTTCGTCAATTTCACAGATTTCTGTTTTCTCAAGTCTTTTTCTCACTTTCATTTTAAAACCAGATCAGTTCTATTACAGTGTTAACTTCGTAACATGAACCTCAAACAAACAGAACAAATGTTTAAAAATACCTTATGCACCACCAAATACAACATTATATTAACGCCAAGTTGTGCACTAATTCTGTGGTATAGAAATTACAGTTCTTGTTTAAACATCTGTAATACTATTACACATTGTAATTGCGGATTACCAATAAAACATTTGCAACTTCAGACAACGATTAAGCATCAGCACGCACTGATTCCGGAAGTATTAACAAATCCCACAAATGTTCCTTTTTTTAGGGGGGGTTGGGTTTAGAAAACAAATTTGCTTGAATACGCCTATGGTCACATACGTTGTTGAAAATGTCCTTCGCCATCATTTTGTATTGGTGGGCAAACTTACACAAAATGACAAAATATAACGGAAGAAGCATACCCAATTTCATCCAAATTTGGCGTGCAGGTGTTGAAGTGTAGATCACGTGACTTCCCCTCTAGAATTACTGGCGTTTTGTCTATGTACAATTTAAACACTAAACATGCGCAACGTTTGTGCTGTCTGGTATGTGGTATTGAAGTCACTCAAGGAATCTGAAACCTTTTAAAGTTGGTCAACCACTTGATTAGCTTCTCAGTATAGTAACGACATGTCACACACAAAGAAAGAAGCAATAATTAGCGACCCAGTTTGAAGCAGGCTTCATAACGGTGAGTCAATCTTCATAAACTAATACAACAAATCTAAGATGAAATGCCTTGACTGATACAACACACTAAAGACTAGCTGCGCGCCATCAATCAAAACTCCAAGTGAAGGGCGAGTGTCAAATTTCAACGAAATACTAACAACCCAAAGCAATCTAGTGAGATCACTGCCGAAATCATCTACCAGTCAGGTAGTCAGCCAGTCACTTGATACAAAGTAGAAATAACAATCCAGCAAAAGAAGTGGAGCATTTATGACAAATTGCAGAAGCTTCATAACAGTGAGTCAATCTTCATTAACTGAAATAACAAATCTCCCATGAAGTCTGTTGGACGATACAATGCATGGAGGATGAGTTGAGTCAAGCCAACATGACTTGACACATTTATTGGAAAGACTCAACTTGACGGTTAAAATACTAGAAGAAAATGTTGACAGTAGCTCTTCATGAGCTATACTGTAGACTATAACTGCAATAATAAGGTACACATAGTAGCTGACAGTGAGAGCGTAGCTTCATATCTACACTGAGCACCAGTGAGGTAACATCTTGAAATGATGTTGCCAAAAAGTCCCATCATTGGCTTAATAAGCCTTTGTCTTGTGATCAGATGCACTGGTGGTAATGAGAGGTGTGGGGCCTCCATTAGAGGGGCATGTCCTCCTGCTTGGATCCAGTGGGGTGACAAATGCTACAAGCAACTCAACGAGAAACTACCATGGGCTGCGGCAAAACAGGAGTGCATCAAGATGGGAAGTGTCTTGGTCATGCCACAGTCTCAGGAGGAAACTGACTTCCTTCAGAAGAATGTGTACCACTGGTTCTGGATCAACTGTAATGATCTTCACGTTGAAGGTTTGTAAACTTATATTGCTTAAACAATGAAGGAACTCTATTTTCTGAGATATTCATAGGAAACAATTTTTCTCTCCTATTGGAAAGGAAAGAAATTTCATTGTTTACGTTTCAAAGTTTAAACATACATAGGCCTACGTGATTTTAAATTCTTAAAGCTTGACAGTCAAATTCAAGCCAAATAAAAATTCATATTCTATGTGTGTGTGTGTTAGGTGCATGGGTGTGTCAAGATGGCACTACTGTTGTGGAGTACAGTAACTGGGGTGAGGGTCAACCTAGCAGCACCAGAGAAGATTGTGCAGTGGTGACAGATAACGGTGATTGGAATGATGTGTCATGTGACTATCGCTCTCCTGTCATCTGCAAACGACCAACACCACAGCTGCACTTTTAAGTGTCAACAAAAACACTGACTGCTCATCAAATTTAACACCCCTCCCCAAAAATTAAGGAATGAAATCATGTAGAAAGTATTGCAACTATGCAAGTGATTGATAGAACCATTTGAACCATCATGAATTTTGGATATACAATGTGAGAAGATAAAAACATTTCAAAAACATTGTTGCTGCATATGGTACTTCTAGAATGCATGTATCTCCGTAATTTGTGCTCTTTGGAAAATAGTTTCACTTTTTTTCTGTATTTTTCATTCACAGAAACCGTTGTGAAAATATGCAATTTAACCACTTGGACAATTACAAAGTTTGGGCACACAATTTGAGATGATGAAAAAAACAGTCATTTTTTTAAAAAATCTTGTTGGTAGTCCTCACAGAAAACATTGTATGAATGTATCGTTTAAATTTGTCCTTGTGGAAAATATTATTAATTATATGTTTATTTCTTTCAGTTTCAGAACTTTTCAATTTTTCTTTCCTTCGGTAAGATAATCCCAAATGAACAAGTAACAATTTCGATGCTGCAGTATTTAGTCAAGTTATACACTTAGTCTTTTATATATCTTTGATTGTGCAACACCCTTTTCTGAGTAAATTATCTGTTTTCGTTAATTTCACAGATTTCTGTTTTATCAAGACTTTTTCTCACTTTAATTTTATAACCAGATCAGTTCTGCTACAGTGTTAACTTCGTAACATGAACCTCGAACAAACAGAACAAATGTTAGAAAATACCTTATGCACAACCAAATACGACATTACATTAACGCTAAGTTAACGTTAACTCTGTGGTATAGAGAAATTACTGTTCTTGTTTAAGCATCTGTAATACTATTGCACATTGTAATTGCGGATTACCAATAAAACTCTTCAGACAACGAATAAGCATCTGCATGCACTGATTCCAGAAGAATTAACAAATCCCACTAATGTTTCCTTTTTTTTGGTGGTTTAGAAAACAAAGTTGCTTGAATACGCCTATGGTCACATATGTTGTTGAAAATGTCCTTCGCCGTCATTTTGTATTGGTGGGCAAATGTACAAAAAAATGATATATTACGGAAGAACTTTAACCAAAATTGACAAGCAGGTGTTGAAGTGTAGATCACGTGACTTCCCCTCTAGAATGCTGGCGTTATGTATATGTACAATTTAAACACTAAACATGCACAACGCTTGTGCTGTCTGGCCTGTGGTATTGAAGTCACTCAAGAAATCTGAAACCTTTTAAATTTGGTCAACCACTTGATAAGCTTCTCAGCGTAGTAATGACATGTCACACACAAAGAAAGAAGCAGTAATTAACGACCCAGTTTGAAGCAGGCTTCATAACGGTGAGTCAATCTTCATTAACTGACACAACAAATCTAAGATGAAATGCCTTGACTGATACAACACACTAAAGACTAGCTGCGCGCCATCTATCAAAACTCCAATAGAAGGGCGAGTGTCAAATTTCAACGAAATACTAACAACACAAAACAATCTAGTGAGATCACTGCTGAAATCATCTACCAGTCAGTTAGTCAGCCAATCAATTGATACAAAGTAAAAAATAACGATCCAGCAAAAGAAGTGAAGCATTTATGACAAAATTGCAGAAGCTTCATAAGAGTGAGTCCATCTTCATTAACTGAAACAACAAATCTCTGATGAAGTCTGTTGGCCGATACAATGCATTGAGGATGAGTTTAATATTGGAAGAAAATATTGACGGTAGCTCTTGATGAGCATAATAGCCCCGGCAATAATAAGGAACAAATAGTAGCTGACAGTGAGAGCGTAGCTTCTTCATATCTACACTGAGCACCAGTGAGGTAACATCTTGAAATGATGTTGCCTAAACGTCTCATCATTGGCTTGATAAGCCTTTGTCTTATGATCAGATGTACTGGTGGTAATGAGAGGTGTGGAGCCTCCATTGGAGGGGCGTGTCCTCCTGCTTGGAGCCAGTGGGGTGACAAATGCTACAAGAAACTCAGCGAGAATCTACCATGGGCTGAGGCAATACAGGAGTGCATCAAGATGGGAAGTGTCTTGGTCATGCCACAGTCTCAGGAGGAAACTGATTTCCTTCAGAAGAACGTGTACCTCTGGTTCTGGATCAACTGCAATGATCTTCAAGTTGAAGGTTTGCAAACTTATATTGCTTAAACATTGACTGACTTCCATTTAGACATTGCTCACAGTAAACAATGTTGCTCTCCTTTTGGAAAGCAGAGTAATTTCATTTTTAATGTTTCAAACGTCAAACGTATGATTCTTAATTCTTAAAGCTTTACAGTGAAATTCAAGCCCAATTAAACCTGACATTACATATTCTCTGTGTGTGTCAGGTACATGGGTGTGTCAAGATGGCACTACTGATGTGGAGTACAGAAACTGGAGGGTGGAGCCTGCTGAACCTAATAATTACGGGGGAGGAGAAGATTGTGCAGTAGTGAGACGTTCTGGTGATTGGAATGATGTTGAATGTGACAGTCAGATTCCCACTATCTGCCAACGACCTGCACCACAACTGCACTTTTAAGTGACAACAAACAACCGACTTGTCATAAAAACATGACACTTCATTTTCTTTTATTGTAAATTACATCCCTCAGAAAAGCAAGTTGTCAGATAGAGAGTACTGTGAATATGCAATTGAACAATTTGGACACTCGCAAGCTTTGGGCAAACAATTTTAAAAATTGAATAACGATTGACAAATGTAATAATATAACAATTGTTAATGCATGTGGTACTCTTCTGAGGATACTTAGTCCTATAAGAATAATTTTCTTTTTACTTTGACAATCACAAAATTTGGGCGTACAATTTGAGATGATGAAACAAAAATTAAGAAATAGGATTGAAAACAATTATTTTGGTAGTTCTCACAGAATTTGTTCTTGTTGAAAACATTTTTGTTTATTTCATTCAGTTTTGGAACTTTTCAATTTTCGTTTCCTTTTGTAAGATAATCTCAATTGGAAATGTCACAATTGGATGACATGAAATAAACAAAAAAACTGATGCTGCAGTATTTAGTCAAGATATAGATTTAGTCTTTTGTTATATCTTTGCTTGTGCAGCACATTTTCTGAATTATGTGTCTGATTTCTTTAATTTCACAATTTCTTTCCAGTCTTTTTCTAACTTTCATTTTAAACCAGATCAGTTCTGTTAGTGTTAAGTTGGTAACATAAACCTCGAACAAACAGAACAAATGTTAGAAAATACCTTATGCACCACCAACTACAACATTATATTAACGCTAAGTTGTGCACTAATTCTGTGGTATAGAGAAATTACTGTTCTTGTTTAAACGTCTGTATTACTATTACACGTTTTTATTTGAGATAACCAATAAAAGTCTTGCAACTTCAGACAACGAATAAGCATCGGCATCCAGAGATTTAGGAAGCATTTAAAAATCCCACAAATGTTTCTCTTTTTTTTCGTGGAGGGTGGTTGGTGGGTTTAAAAACAAATGCTTGAATATGCCAATGGTCACATATGTTGTTGAAAATGACCTTCGCCATCCTTTTGTATTGGTGGGCAAACTTACAAAGAAAGATGAAATATTGTCAAAGAAGCCTACCCAACTTTCACCAAAATTGGCGTACAGGTGTTGAAGTGTAGATCACGTGACTTCCACTCTAAAATTGCTGGCGTTATGTCTATGTACAATTTAAACACTAACTATGCACAACGCTTGTGCCGTCTGGCATGTGGTATTGAAGTCAGTCAAGAAATCTGAAACCTTTTAAATTTGGTCAACCACTTGATTAGCTTCTCAGTGTAGTAATGACATGTCACACACCAAGAAAGAAACAGTAATTAGCGACCCAGTTTGAAGCAGCCTTCATAACGGTGAGTCAATCTTCATTAACTGATACAACAAATCTAAGATGAAATGCCTTGACTGATACAACACACTAAAGACTAGCTGCGCGCCATCAATCAAAACTCTAATAGAAGGGCGAGTGTCAAATTTCAAAGAAATACTAACAACACAAAGCAATCTAGTGAGATCACTGCTGAAATCATCTACCAGTCAGTTAGTCAGCCAGTCAATTGATACAAAGTAAAAAATAACGATCCAGCAAAAGAAGTGAAGCATTTATGACAAAATTGCAGAAGCTTCAAAAGAGTGAGTCCATCTTCATTAATTAAAACAACAAATCTCTATTGAAGTTTGTTAAAGTCTGTTGGCCGATACAATGCATACAGGATGAGTTTAATATTGGAAGAAAATATTGACGGTAGCTCTTGATGAGCATAATAGCCCCTGCAATAATAAGGTACAAATAGTAGCTGACAGTGAGAGCGTAGCTTCTTCATATCTACACTGAGCACCAGTGAGGTAACATCTTGAAATGATGTTGCCAAAACGTCTCATCGTTGGCTTGATAAGCCTTTGTCTTATGATCAGATGCACTGGAGGTAATGAGAGGTGTGGAGCCTCCATTGGAGGGGCGTGTCCTCCTGCTTGGAGCCAGTGGGGTGACAAATGCTACAAGAAACTCAGCAAGAATCTACCATGGGCTGAGGCAAAACAGGAGTGCATCAAGAAGGGAAGTGTCTTGGTCATGCCACAGTCTCAGGAGGAAACTGACTTCCTTCAGAAGAACGTGTACCTCTGGTTCTGGATCAACTGCAATGATCTTCAAGTTGAAGGTTTGCAAACTTATATTGCTTAAACATTGACTGACTTCCATTTAGACATTATTTACAGTAAACAATGTTGCTCTCCTTTTGGAAAGCAAAATAATTTCATATTTAACGTTTCAAACGTCAAACGTATGATTCTTAATTCTTAAAGCTTTACAGTGAAATTCAAGCCCAATTAAACCTGACATTACATATTCTCTGTGTGTGTCAGGTACATGGGTGTGTCAAGATGGCACTACTGATGTGGAGTACAGAAACTGGAGGGTGGAGCCTGCTGAACCTAATAATTACGGGGGAGGAGAAGATTGTGCAGTAGTGAGACGTGCTGGTGATTGGAATGATGTTGAATGTGACAGTCAGATTCCCACTATCTGCCAACGACCTGCTCCACAACTGCACTTTTAAGTGACAACAAACAACAGACTTGTCATCAAAACATAACAATTCAGTTTCTTTTATTGTAAATTTCATCCCTCAGAAAAGCAAGGCATCCTATGGACAGTACTGTGAATATGCAATTGAGCGATTCGGACAATCGCAAATTTTGGGAAGACGAAAAACAATATAAAATAATAAAACAATTGTGGATGCATGCGGTACTCCTTATAGAATACGTAGTTCTAAACATACATATATCTTTTTTTATTTTGTGCTAGTCGGAAAATAGTTTCATTTAATTTTTTGTATTTTTCTTTCATAAGGAAACAAATTTGTGGAAAACAATTTGAGATGATATTCAATTTCAAACAAGATTTTAAACATCCTGTTTGCAGTCCTTATATCTTTTTAAATTTGTGCTGGTGGAAAATATTTAAAATTATATGTTTATTTGTATCACTTTCAGAACTTTTCAATTTTCGTTTCCTTTTCTAAGATGATCTCAGTTGAAAATGTAACAATTCGATGACATGAAATAAATGAAAATATGATGCTGCAGTATTTAGTCAAGTTATATTCTTAGTCATTTGCTATATCTTTGCTTATGGAGCACCTTTCTCCGACTTTTTTGTCTTATTCTTTCAATTTCACCTTCTTTCAAGTCTTTTTCTCATTTTCATTTTAAATAACATCAGTTCTGTTACAATGTTAACTTGGTAATATGAACCCAATGCATTCACTGATATAGCTACTAAGGGAATAAATACGTGCTTGGCCGTTTTTAACCAAGTACGTTCAATACCAGCTAGGGACCTGGTCACCAATTTTGAATGTACTTGTTTAAAACCATCCAAGCAGATATTTATTTCATGAATACCTTTTGGTCAAAAAAATTCAAAGCAAGTCAAAAATTCACTAATTTCCAACAATCTTATTCTACAATTTACTTCATGTTTTGTGAAACACCCCTCTGGCCATGTCTATAGTATGCGCGTCGCGCGTGGTGCTAAAAACAGATACGTTTTATTTTTAGCATCAATAGTATTCCCATTGAGAAGGTACAGCATATTTAATGTCATTGATTTATCAAAATATAAGTAGGCCTAGGTTATCAGTATCATGATCACGTTCTGAACAACCAGCCAAATATTTTGCAAGTTGCAATTATATTGACTTGCAATGAAGTAAGCTCTAACAAAGACTTCTGTCCTCCGTAGTCGTAGTAACCAACCTCTTTCAATGCCCATAAATATAGTGAATTTTGTATCAATGGAGTTCTGCAGGCAGAATGAAATTCGCAGAGCAGTTTATTGATTAATTTCACTAGAAAAATATCAAGTGTGAATTCTTTTTGTATCCACTGGCGCAACACTAATAATGTGAACACTTTAAAATTAACTGCCATACAGCTTCCATTGTAGCACGGCACAATGACGTCTGAGGAAGGGGTACGCAATGCGCATTTCACCACCAGGCACCAGTCTGGTAACGTCTGAAAAAGATGTTGCCTAAACGTCTCGTCATTGGCTTGATAAGCCTTTGTCTTATGATCAGATGCACTGGTGGTAATGAGAGGTGTGGGGCCTCCATTAGAGGGGCGTGTCCTCCTGCTTGGAGCCAGTGGGGTGGCAAATGCTACAAGCAACTCAGCGAGAATCTACCATGGGCTGAGGCAAAACAGGAGTGCATCAAGATGGGAAGTGTCTTGGTCATGCCGCAGTCTCAGGAGGAAACTGAGTTCCTTCAGAACCGCGTCAGTCCTCGGTTTTGGATTGACTGCAATGATCTTCAAAGGGAAGGTACTTACAAAGTGTATTCCTTATAGAACCTTCTTAGTTTCAACTACTCAAAGTATAGGATCTAGATGAATGAGAGGTACATTAGACACTGGAAAATTGAAAAAGTTCAAAGAGTTCATATTTTTGTCTATGCATTTCACACACAAAGTTATATTCTGCAATTCTTTTTTAGGTTCATGGGAGTGTCGCGAGGGTACTCGGAGCGTAACCTTCAGGAACTGGACACCTAATCAACCAAGTAACACCCAGCACAGCGACGCTGCCGGAGAGGACTGTGCCGTCGTCGTGCATACCACGGGCCAATGGAACGACATCCCTTGCGAATGGAAACAACCTGCAGTGTGCACGAAGCCTGCACCCAAACTACACCTTTGAAACTTACAGTGGAAAACCATCACCCAAAAACAGAGACACTCTCAATCCGACTTTCATTGTTGTTCTACAATTAGCAATAATCACAAAGACAAAAACGAGTCAGTTATCTTGCAAGACATTTGTTAGTCAGTTTGAACTCATCCATCATACTATATTCTGCCATGCAGTCATTTGAAAAGCCTGCAGGGCACAGTCACTCTTGAAACAAATCTAAATATTACATCTCAAAAGATCTCTTTTAGATACAGCCTAGTGAAAAATGACAAAGTAGTAGTTCACACAGTAAAATAATTCCCAAAAGGAAGAAGAGTGGCAGTGTGTAGATACTTGAT